GCCTGGCTCGGGCGGCACTGCTGGCTGCTGCTGATGGGAGCGGGCTGGCTCGGCTCGCCCATGGAGCGGCACGGCGGGGCGGCAGCCTCGGGCTCCGCCGGGGAGTCAGCGTCCGGGAACGCCGAAGCGCGATGTGCTGAGCTGCTGAGGCGTCGGACCAGCAGCGGGTCGGGGGCGGAGGCGGCGGAGGGCGTGAGGCGGGAGCGGCCGGGCTCCTACAGCGGCCCCTCCTCGGCCTCCCGCCAGCGCGTCGAAGGCCTCCGGAAGAAGCGGCCGCGTAAGTGGTAGCGGCTCCACGGCTCTCTGCCCACCCCACCCCGTCCGCCCATCTTTTTTCCCGCGCGCGGACAGTGCCTGAGTGTGTGACCCGGTCGGTGCGAGCCCCGACACGGTGCTGAAGGCCTAGGGTCCGTGACGGTGCGAGCCCGGATGCCTGCTGGAGGCGCGGGGTCCCCGACGGTGCGAACTCCTACGCCTAGTGGGGCTGGGGCGGGGTGGGCCCTGACGCAGGGCAGGACTGGCGTCTGCTCGGAGTTCGCCCGACCCAGTCCTCGAGGCCTGTGGTCTCTGCTTCCTTTAGCGCTTGGACCTTTCCTCTGCATCGGATCTTTGTGATTTTTCAGAGAATCTCATGTTTTTATTCTTGAGAAGGCTCATTTTGACTGATTTCCGTAATCTGGCCTCTTCTCCAAGATCCTTTGAGTCCCACTTTAAGCCCTTTTTATTTGGCGATTTCGAGCTTTCTGGAAAATGGTTAACCATCCTCCTGAAGCGCTACTGGGTAAAAATCCTATTCCGTGCTCTATGCACTTCTAAGCTTTGGTTGCTTTTCTTCCCATTAGAATTCAGGTCATCTCACATCCAGATAGTTCCCCCATTTTCCTTTAGTCTATTCATAGTTATTCACGATTCGTCTGTAGCATTCCGTGCACTAAACAGCCTTTTTCTGTCCGGGCGTGGTAGCGCACGCCTTTAATCCCAGTACTCGGGAGGCGGAGGCAGGTGGATCTCTGTGAGTTCAAGGCCAGCCTGGTCTACATAGTGAGTTCAGGACAGCTGGGGCTACAGGTAGATCCTGTCTCAAAAAGACCAAAAAAAAAGCGTTTTTCTTTTCAGGAAAAAGGACATGTTCCTAAATTTTACTTAGGAGCTACTCCTCCCAGAGAATCGATTTCTCCATTTTACTTTTTAAAAATTTCTTTTTTGAGTTGTGTATTTTCTCCCCTAGGGTTCTCATTCGTGACCTCCTTCTAGCAGCCATTGCTGTTCACAGTATTGATTGACCTAGTACTGTAGTATGAACTTAACTGCATAGCTGCGTTTTGCATGCTGGTAGACTTAGATTATAATTGCCAGATTACTATTTGAGGAAGTAAGTACTTAATGCAGATTGTTAAAGTGAAGGAAAATGGCCGGATGTGTTGGATAATCTGTATCTAGCCCAACCACCCTATTTTTATCTCTGATTTGAGTGATTGGATGTAGCTGTTATTGCTATGGAAAGTTTGAGCATTTTCATTTCTTTTGTTTCTCATCTTGCAAGATTTATTTGACAATACCAGCATCCTGAGAGGTGGAGAGAGGAGGAGCTTTGAATGAAATTCAAGACTGATGTCAAAAAAAAAAAAAAAAAAAAAAAGGAAAACAAATTCTTAAGCTATTTGTGTTACCGAATCATTTACTTGATTGAGAATTTTAAAAGTCACATTTGTGTATGTGTGGGTGAGCACATGTGTGGAGGTCAGAATCCATTTTCTTTAACCATGTGGGACCTGGGGATAGAACTTCAGTGGTCAGGCTTGAGAGCAGTCACCTGCTGAGCCATCTCACCAGCCCTGATTTTTGTTTTATTTGAGCCAAGGAATTGTGTAGTCCAAATTGGCCTCATGTGCATGAAAATCCTGCTTCAGCTGCCTTACTGTTGGAATACAGGTATACGACCACCATGCCAGGTTTAGGCATACTGCCTCCCATAGTGGGTTTGAGCCTAGGGTTTCATACATGCTAGATAAGTGCTTTATTACTAAGCTAAGCTATATCCCCAGGCAAGTGTTTGAACTCACAGAGATCTGCCTGCCTCTGCCTCCCGAGTGCTTGATTTTTAAGCAGCACAAAAGCATTAGTTCATTTATGGATTGGACATGTCTGTCATTTCCAGAGATGGTTACCCATATAGGTGGTGGTTTGTGGCCACTGGCCAACAGAATTATTGAGTATTATATTTTGGATATTTGTGTGAGTCCAGCACTCTTCTCAGAGCTTTGGTAATTGAGCCTTCAGAGCTGCTCCGAGGTATGTGGTAGTATTCCATTTCACTAGAGAGAATACTGGTGCTTAGTGTCAAGTGACTACTCATGTGGAATAGAAATGTAAATTCAAGAACTCTAGGCTTTGTGCCTGCAAGTAGTGATTTGGGAGGTGAAGACAGACCCCTGGAAGCCTGCTGGCCAGCAGTAGCCTAGCCTACTTGGCGAACTTCTAGGCCAGTGACAGAACCTGTCTCAGGCAGATAGTGGAAACACACCCAGGAGCAACACCAGAGGTTGTTGTCACACCCATGATACACATGAACTCAAGCATTCTCATGCACATACACTCATCCACATATACACAGACATCCTCCATCCCTTACAAATGACCTGGAGAGTTAGAATGCAGATCCTTGGGCTCAGGTCTGGGGCTCTCTTTGGAATAAGAATCTGGAGGGGCAAAGCATGTTTTCTTTCTCAATAAGCTGTTCCCACTTAAAAAAAAAAATTCTGGAGAGGTGAAGAAGCTGCCTTTTAAACAAAAAGTCATTCAGATTCTGGTGATTCAGAGACCACTCTGAAACACACTGGTTTAAACCACAGGGCTGTGTGTTATATTAAGGTGGTTTTAGAACTTCTTTGAAGGAATAAGTGAACAAATGTTGGATTTATTTTAATTATATTTTAATTAATTTTTTGATTGTTTTTGAGACAGCTTCTTCCTGTAGCCCCACATGGCCTGGAACTCACTATGTAGACCAAGCTGACCTTGATCTCACAGAGATCACCTGCCTCTGCTTTCTGAGTGCTGGGATAAAAGGCATATGCATACCATGCTCAGCTGGATTTATTTTTGAATAGTATTTCATGTATCCCTGGGACTTGATATATACTTGTGGAACTTCTATCTCCTCCTGAGTGCTGGGATTACAGTTATATGCCACCATCCATGTCTGGTTTATGTGGTACTGGGGATTGAACCCAGAAGTTCCTGCATGCTGTGCAAGTACCCTACTCAACTGAGCTACTTCCCCAGCCCTGATATTTTGTTTTGCCTTTTTAGTTTAAACAAACCATGGGCATTAGTTTATTTTTATACTTATTTTTATGTTCATTTACTTATGTTGGTGTGTGTATGTGTGTAGGCATACATGTGGAGCTCAGAGAACAACCTGTGAGAGTTGGTTCTCCCATTCTACCATTTGAGTCCCAGGGATGTGTTCAGGCTTGGAGGTAGGCGCATCTTCTACCCACTGAACCATCCTGCCTTCCTTGATTTATTTATTTTTATTTACTATCTGATATTGGTCATCTTCTCTTCATTGCTTTCTCTGATTGACTGATAGTGAAAAACCATATTTTAGGTAATGAGACCTGTTGAAGGAACAATTTTTTTTGAGATGTTTTCAAGGTGTAGCTTAGGCTGGTCTTGAACTCATGATCCTCCTGCCTCAGCTTCTTGATTGCTAGGATTATAGGTAAGACCACCATATCTGGCTTCAATAAGGCATTGATCTAACATCCATTTGATCTTCCTGTACTATCCAAGGGTGCACTGTTAGATGGACAAGCAGATTGTTCCAAGAGTGTACTTTAGTCATGGATCTGAGAGAATTCCCTGAAGAATAAATAATTATTTATCTTTATTAGAAAACATTTGAGGTCAGAAAGCCTTGTGATGTCTTCACACTACTTTTTAAAAGTCACTTGAAACCGAAAGGTGCTAGTTTTGTAACCTATGGCCCTGGTTTATAGTAATGTTCTGCTACACATGTTGCTAGAGCAGTGGGTTTTAGACTGTCCCATCCTAGACTTGATGTATTAGAATATAATTAGAGATTAGGGGAGGCATGGGCACGTGGAAACATGTGGACAACTTGTGGGATTCAGTTCACGTACTCCTCTATGTAGGTCCCAGGGCTTGAACTCAGGTTTTCAAGACTAAAGAACCATTTTATTGTCCCAGAAGTTTTTATTTTTTTTTAATTTAAAAAATTTATCTATTTATTTATTTTTGTCTTTTTGAGACAGAGCCTCCCTGTAGCTCCAGCTGGCCTGGAACTTGCCATGTAGACTAGGCTGGCTTCAAATTCACAAAGACCTGCCTCTGCCTCCCAAGTGCTGGGATTAAAGGCATGTATGACCATGCCTGGCTTAATTTTTTTTTTAATGTGTGTTTTGCCTGCATGTATATAAATGCACCTGTGCATGCAGTGCCTGAGGAAGCCATAAGAAAGCGTCAAATCCCCTGGAACTAGAATTAAGGACAGTTGTTAGCTGCCATGTGGGTGCTGGGCCCAGTTCCTCTGCAAGAGCAGCCAGTGATCTTAACTGCTGAGCCATCTCTCTAATTCTAGCCCAAAAGTTTTTTTTTTTAAATTTTATTTATTATTTTATGTGTATGTGTGTATTGCCTGCATGTAGGTAAGTGCATCTGTGTCGTACAGTGCCCGAGGAGGACAGAGAGACTGTCAGATCCCCTGGAACTGGAATTATGAATGGTTGTTAGCCACCATGTGGGTGCTGGGATTTAAACCCCGGTCTTCTGCAAGAACAGTGTTCTTAACCACTGTGCTATCTCTCCAGCCCCCAGCCCAGAAGTTCTTTAAAGGTTTTGGATCAGGTTATAATTTATAGGATGAGAAAATAGCAAATAAAGATTATTTTAAAATGTTGCTCAGTGGATAAAAGCACTTTCCATGTGTTGCAAAAAATTTTTTTGCATGGTGGGGGGTTGTTGTGATGGTGATGGTGGTGCTTGGTGTTCAGACAGCCTCTACCCTCCTCCTTTTAAGGTCCCAGTGAAAAACCAAAGTTGGGTTCCATGGAAGTTCACCCTGGGGTACCAGTTAGTTAGCTTATTAGTTACTTACTGAGTGTGGGCAACCCTCAAGTAGCTGTACTGGAAGATTTCCACCCAGCGTGGCCATGAGGGCTTCCTATGGCTGTGTTGATGGAGTCCCTTCTACTAGTCTTCTCCAGCCTATATTTTCTAGTTGCTCCTGGAGACCACGATGTGATGTTCACTTAGGGCAGAATTGCATACAAGTGGCCAGGAGGACTGACTGGATACTCAGGTAAGGGTCCAGTGATCCTCCCTACCCCTTCTATGAGGGAACAACAGGAGTTACCAAACCCATATGTGATGATCTTTTGCAAGCAGGCATGGCTGGACTCAGGAAGAGAAAGCTGTTTGGTTCAGAGGACCATACTATATAATGCTGTGCAAGTCCATCTGTTATCCCAATCCTATATCTAAAAAATTAAAAAAATTTTTATTTTGTGTGTATGAGTATATTACCTGAATGTATGTAAGTGCACCTGTGTTCTGCAATACCCCACGGAGGTCAGAAGAGGGTATCAGCTCCTCTGGAACTGGAGTTAACAAATGGTTGTTAGCCCCCATGTGGGTACTGGGAATTGAACCTGGGTCTTCTGCAAGAGCAGTCAGTGCTATTAACTGCTGAGCCATCTCTCTATAACCCTGCAGCACTTCTGCATTTTGATGGGAGGCAGACAGGAGAGTTAGCCTGAAGCTTGCTTAGACCAGCTTAGTCTGTAGTATGTAGCACAAGTAGTGGCAGAAGCAAGTGTCACAAAGTGGAAGGAGAGAACCAACTTGCAAAAGTTGTCCTGCAATTGACACATGTGTTGTGGCACATGGAAATAAGTAAAAAAAAAAATTTTTTTTGTCTTTTTGAGACAGGGTCTCACTGTAGCTGTCCTGGAACTTGCTATGTAGACCAGGCTGGCTGGGATTATTTGGTACCACGACTGGCTGGAAATCAGTAAAATTAAAAAAAAAATTTTGGGAAGGCCAGGGCTGTAGCTCGCTTGGTAGAGTGGTTGCTTATCATTTAAGAATCTCAGGGTTTGATTTCTAAGACTGCATAATCTGAATGTGGTAGCACCTGCCTATAATCCCAGCATTCAGCAGGATGAGGCACGAGATTAGGAATTGAAGGTCATATTTGGCTGTACGGTGAGTTCAAGGCCAGCCTGGAGTACATGAAATCCTGTCTCAGAAAAAGGGGGAAACGTGGGTTAGGGGATGTAGTTTACTTGGTAGAGGTTCTTACTTGGCAAATATTTGGCGTCGTTCCTTATTGCTTTAAATAAATTAGAAATGATGGAAACTGATGCTAATGACAGTTATATAACTACTGTTTTCTAAGAGCTTATTTGTTTTGACAGTTTGCCAAGTGTTTTATTTAGGTCTCATTGAGTAAGGTAGGTGTTTTTGTGTGTGTATGTGTATGTGTGTGTGACTACAGGCATGTGTGACCATGGTGTGCATGTGGAGGTCAGAGGACAACCCTGAGTGGATCTTTACCTTCCGTCTTTGTTGAGACAGGTTCTCTTTATTGTTTGCTAGCTCACCCATGAATTCTGGGGATTCCTTTGTCTCTGGAGTTGTGATATGTTTTTACACGAGTTCTAAGGGATTTAAACTCACTCATGACCTCATGTTTACACATTAAGAGCTTTACCCACTGAGCCCCTTGAGCTGCTTTTTTTGAGACAGGGTCTCCCTATAGCCCCAACTAACCTGGAATTGGCAATGCAAACCTAGCTGACCTCTATCTCAGAGAGAACCTGGGAGTGCTGGGATTAAAGGCATGAGCCACTGGCTGAGCTGCTTTTTATGTTTTTTTCCTAATCTATGTTAGTGTCTCTTTTAAACTCTAGATTCAAAATTGTCTATACTATTGATTTATTTTTGGAATCTCTCCATATGTACTATTTCATCTGTTGGTAAAGTGCTTGCTCCTGGCTTGGATCACTACCATGCACTTAAAAAGCCTGGTGCAGAGGTGTGTGCCTGCAGTCCCAGCACTGGAGAGGTGGAGTCAGGATCCCTGGGGTGTGTCAGTCTATCTGAATTTGTGAGTTTTAGAGTCAGTGAAGGACTGAATTAAAAGTAGGGTGGAGAAATGAATGAGGTAGGACATCCAGTGTGTCCATCTCTGGCCTCAGCATGCACATTACACACACAAAGCTGCTTATCTTTTTCTTGGAAGTAGTTACCAAAATCATTTTGCCTTTTTTTTTTCCTTCAGTGATGGGAATTGAATTTTGGGCCTCACACATGCTGGGCAAGTGCTCCACCACTGAGCTATATTCCCACTCTAGCTTGTTTTTTAAAAGTAAGTAGAAATAGAAATAGTTTATTAAGAAAGTAGGGAATAGATTTGGAAAAGACATACTCTAAAAAGCCCTTTTTCTCTGTTTTAATGATGTTTTCAAAACTTCATTTTATTGATTGACAGTAATACAGCTTTGTACACAATATTTTTGTTTTCATTTATATCTTTTGCTTTTTTTTTCTTTGTGGTATATGTGCACTTATGTGTGCAGGTGTGCATGCCTCTGTGCCTATGTGATGTGGGGGCCCGAGGAAGACGTTGGAGTGTTCTGCATTCTATTTTATTCTTTTTCGAAAAGGTCTGAACCGGGGCCTAGGCTGGTGGCCAACAAATCCAAGCAATCTGTTCTATACCCTCCACAGTGCTGGATTACAGGCATGTATATCTGGGATACCCACTCAGGTCCTCATGCTTAAAGCAGCAAATACTCTTACCCACTGAGCTATCTTTTCAGCTCCTTATTTTTGTTTGAGACAGTTTTGCTTTGTACCTCAGGCTGGCTTGGACGTGGTGGCAGACCTCAGCTTCCTGAGTGCTGGGATTGCAACATGCATGCCTGTGCTGACTTCCTTTTGCCTGTTTTAGATATAGTCTATTTTGTTTTTTTAGCATTTAAAATTGTAAATGACATTACACATACATACTTTTCAGATACAGGTTCATAGTATGTAGCCCAGGCTGTCATTGAATCATAGTGATCTTCCTATCTCAGCTTCCTGAGTGCTAGAATTACGTTTGTTTTGCCACACCCAGCTTATATTTAAAATTGTTTTTTTTATTAGGTTTTTTTTTCAAAAATATTTTATTTTTATTTTATGCGTATGCGTGTATTGCCTACACGTAGGTAAGTGCACCCATGTCGTTCAGTGCCCGAGGACAGAAGAGGCCGTCAGATCCCTTGGGACTGGAGTTAGGGACAGTTGTTAGCTGCCATGTTGGTGCTGGGATTTGAACCCAGGTCTTCTGCAAGAACAGTCAGTGTTCTTAACCTCTGAACTATCTCTCCAGCCCCTTATTTATTAGTTTTATGTGTATGAGTGTATTTGTGTAGGCCCACTCATGTTGTGCAGTGTCTGTGGAGGACAGAAGAGGGTGTTGGATCCCCTAGAACTGGAGTTATGCCATGTGGGTGCTGGGATTTGAACCTGGGTCTTCTGCAAGAACAGCCAGTGCTTTTAACTGCTGAGCCAGCTCTCCAGCCCCCACAGTGTGTTTAAGACACATTTAAAACTTCCCTGTTCTTGCCTGCAGTTACTCAGAATCTTTATCTTTCCTTTTCCCAGTGAGACAGAAGTGCTGCTTGTTTTCACTTCTTTCCTCATCCACTTCCTATGTTGAAACCGTGTAAGTATTTCAGTTCCAGGTTGCTTCTTTTTCTTAAAGTCAGCATGTATTTATTCCTCTACTTCTACTTTATGGGAAAAATAAGTTTCTTAGAGCTCTCGGATGCTTTTAAATTATGTTGGTGTACATGTACTGATGATTTCAGGAAAGGTCTTTGAGTAGCAGCCCTTTTGTGTAAAAGTTTCTTTTGGACTCTTGCTTGAAAAGCTGGTTGACTAGATAAAAATTTTCATATCTTTTTCCTTATAACTTTGAAACCTCTGCTCCTTTGTCTTTTAACATCCAGGTTGCTGATGAAAAGTGCTATTTATCTTTATGTGATTTATGTAGAATTCAAGTTCTTCCTTAGGATCTTCTGAAATTTCAGTAGGATTCTTTCTTTTTTGTTTTGATTTTGAGACAGAGCCTCATTGTATTTACTGTCTTTTGGGATGGATTGCAGCTGGGAGGCAGGATGTATGTGTGGCCAGGTATAGCAGGTGTGGAGGCTCTCCTTCCTTCTGGGTAACAGTAGCCATGTGGATGCCATCCTGGTACTGGTCCTTGCTCTTAGGCAAAAGTTAGTTTGCCCTAGTGAAAGTGGAAATGAGGTAGCCGGGCGTGGTGGCACACGCCCTTAATCCCGAGGCAGAGGCAGACAGATCTCTGAGTTCAAGGCTAGCCTGGTCTACATAGTGAGTTCCAGGACAGCTGGGGCTACAGAGAGACTCTGTCTCAAAAAGACCAACAAAAAATAAAAGGAAGTGGAAATGAGGTGTGCCCTTCATAGAGAGAAATGTGTGCCCTGTCCTGTTGCTCCAAATATATTTCCTGAACACATGACCCATGACTGCTGAAGCCTGCTTCTGTTTCCCCACAGAAGCCACCTCATATGTAGCTGCCCGCCTTCATAACTGTTCCCAATTTTAATGACATTTCTCTTTTGATGGTGTGGATAGGTATTGCCAGATTCTTGTGTCCCAGAATTGTTTTAGGAAAGAATGTCAGTAAACTCATGCTTTTAGTCATTTCTAGATTTAGTATTGGGGAAGACACAAAGTCCATGTGTCCATCTTGATCTGGGTTCCTGAAGCTATTTATTTATTTATAAAGTATTTTTTAGGGGGTTGGGAGGAATGGATCACTTAAGTCCATTGAAGCCTTTTAGGCTGTCACCATTTTGTGGTACCAGAGAATGAACAGATAGCCTTCTGTATGGTGGGCAAGCACATTCTATCCTTGAGCTATATCTTTCCCTAGTCCAGAATATCAGGTTTTGAGAGAGAAAGAGAGAAATTGACCCTTGGAGATTATTAGGTAGGGCTAGGATTTTCTTCTGTAGTTAGAGACTAAACTGGAGGTTTGAAGTCTCAACATTTCTTTAAGCCAATAGGAGGGATGAAGATTTTCATTTTTTGATTTTCGTAATTGAGACTTATAGGGAGTCATTTTATTTTGAAACATTTCATAATATAGTTTGAGCATGTCTATACAGAAAGGTTAGTTTAGCTTAACAGTTTGATATTTTGATTTGTCTTAGTTTTTTTCCAAACCAAAGTGAGTCACATTTCTTCTTCCTAGAATCTTTTGGGTTCAGAATTCTCTTAGAAACCACAGGGCATGAAGCAGCTTGCTAGTTTAAGTATAAACTTTGATTGTAGGGGGAAAAAAAAACTATTCTGACTTTTCTTTCCCATTTAGTTTTTCCATGGTTTGGCTTGGATATTGGTGGAACCCTGGTCAAGTTGGTTTATTTTGAACCCAAAGACATCACTGCTGAAGAAGAGAAGGAAGAAGTCGAAAGCCTTAAAAGCATTCGGAAGTATCTGACCTCTAATGTGGCTTACGGGTCTGCAGGAATTCGGGACGTGCACCTTGAGCTGAAGGACCTGACTCTGTGTGGACGCAAAGGCAATCTGCACTTTATACGCTTTCCCACTCATGACATGCCTGCTTTTATTCAAATGGGCAGAGATAAAAACTTCTCGAGTCTCCACACTGTCTTTTGTGCCACTGGAGGTGGAGCATACAAATTTGAGCAGGATTTTCTCACAGTATGCATTTTTTAGCTTATATACAATTTATGGTAATTTGATTGTTAAAAATGATGCCAGTTACAAGTGGTAGAATAATTTTCATTTCTAATGAAATTTGAATTTCCTTCAGTGAAATGAAGATTATAAATTAGTCAGGAGTGAGTGCTTGCTTGTCTTCCAAGACCCAAGTTTAGTTCTTCATACCTATGTTGGGTGGGTCATAATTGCATGTAGTTCCAGTTCCAGGGGATCCTGTGCCTTGTCTGGCCTCTGCTGGCACCTGTATACATGCTGCAGACCCTCATAGAGATATACACGTGCACACAAAAATAAAGCGGGGCATGTTGATGCACGCCTTTAATCCTAGCACTTGGATAGCAGAGGCAAGCAGACTTCTGTGAGTTGGAGGCCAGCCAGTGTTACACGGATCCTGCCTCCAACAAAAAAAGGGAAGGGGGGTTTGGCATGGTGGCCTCTGCTTTTAATCCCAGCACTCAGGAGGCAGAGGCAGGTGGATCTCTGTGAGATTGAGGTCAGCCTGGTCTACATAATGAGATCCAGGCCAGCTCGGGCTACAGGGAAACCTTGTCTTCAACAACCCCCTGCCCCACCCAAAACAAAACAAAACCAAAACCAAAACTGGGTATGGTGATGCACTTATAATCTAGCCAGCCCTGGTAGAGATAGGGCTGATCCTTAGGGCTCATTGGTCTGCCTGTCCAGCCTACTTGGAGAACTCTAATGTAGTAAAGAGACCTTGTCTTAAGCGAACAGTACATAGTGCCTGAGGAATGACACCCAGGCTGTTTTCTGTCCGCATGTGCACACAAACGTTTCCATACAGTTTGATTATAAAATTGTTTCTAATCTTGTGTATTACAAGATAAGGTATCTAATCTCTTCTTCCCTCAGTTGTTTTCTGGCATTTCCATTGATTATGGAAGGAACTCTGGTTAAAAATTCTGTTTTTTCAGGTATTAGAGTGGGTCTAAGATGGCTGACAGCAGAGCTGTCCTCCCCAAACTAGGCAAATATTCCATCACTGAGCTGCATTTCCAGTCCTGTGCTTAACTTGCTAACGAAGTCTCAACCCTGTCTAGCTTTTAAGGCTGGTATATCATTGGATACTAGATTTGTTTTTGCTCTGTGAAAAAGGTCTTGAGGCATATGTGGTCATAGGTGTGAGAACAAACAGTGAGTTGTCCAAGTCCCTAACCTTCAGGGTACAATACAGATTTAAAATGTCTTCAATGACTATTTCATACTACTAAAAGAGAATATTAGCCTGAAGGAAGTTCTGCCTTTGTCAAGACAAAATATAGCTCTTCAGAAGAAATAAGATGGTTTATTCTAAACCAAATATAAGTGATCATGGCTTAGAGGCACAGATTTGGGTTGCTGTGAATATTTCACTGCAGAAGAGGTTATAGAAGAGAGTCACAGAACAAAAGAAAGCCTTAAATCATGCATTCACCAGATAAATTGTGTAGACATCTGGTAGAGGGTGGGCAAATCTTGCCTATGGGTTTCAGATGTTATCTGATGACATTCTTAAGTTTTTGGAATGGCAGAAGCTAGTAGTTTGTTAATACATTCCAAAGGTTTTATCTGATAGTCACACACAAAGGTTGATGATAAATGGTTTTTGAGGGTACTAAAGAGAGCCCGGGATAATTTTGTTGCTGATCTGTATAACATTCCATCTCTTCAAAATTAAGAACTTGTAGTTAATGAGCATGCAGAACTTCCTCTCCTGTATGTCACTACATGATTTATGACCTTGTTCTCCTCATTTTTCTCCCCCTGGAGCTGGCCATAGTAATCATAGTATAGACTTGACATGAATTAGGTAACAAGGTTTTATATTCTTTTCTTGGGTTTTTCTTGTGTGCTGGTCAGTGGTTTCATTTCCATATGTGAATTCAGGGGAGGTACCAGGATGGAATGTCTCCCAGTCAACTCTGGATCTTAACTGATAGGTAGAGAAAACTTGTTTCTGGGACCTTGTAGAAGCCTCTTTGCAGCATATTTGAAAACCATTCAGGCCATTAACAGAGGCTCAGAGTTGTGTGGGAATCCAAGGAAAGAGTGCACACTGGACTTTGTATTTTAAGAGTACGTTCGTCTATGGGCTGTTAGGGTTTCTCTTTTGCATGTATGTACCAGTGCTGTAGTTAAAACTAAGAGAAAAGTCGTGGAGATGCCTAAATCAGTACAGTGCCTGCTATTCAAGCATGAGGACCTGAGTTTGGATCCCCAGTACTCAGTTAAAAAACCTGAGTGTGCGCCATGGTGGCGCACACCTGTAGTCCCAGCACTTGGGAGACAGAGGCAGGCGGATCTCTGTGAGTTCAAGGCCAGCCTGGTCTACATAGTTCCAGGACAGCTGGGGCTACAGGGAGACCCTGTCTCAAAAAGACAAAAAAAGAAAAAAAACCTGAGTGTGCATCAGTAACCCTAGCACAGTGGTACAGAGATAGGCGGGTCCCTGGAGATTGCTGGCCAGCCAGTCTAGTCAAGCCAGTGGGTAAGTGCTGGTCAGTGAAAGATCCTATCTCAAAAGATAAGGTGGATTGTGATCAAGGAAGACACCCGAAGTTGACTTCCAGTCTCCACATACACATGTGCACACATGCATATACTACATGCATACATACAGTGTGTGAAATGAAATAACCTATCAAGTGTTTGTGTATTGGGAGTAGCTAATATTTAATAATTCACAATGAAATTAAATGAAACAATTGTTTAAAATGAGGGTTTTTTTGAGGGATGGGAGGACAGGGTCTCACTATGTAGCTCTGGTTGATCTGGAACAGAGTATGTAGGCTAGCTGGCCTTGAACTTACAGAGGTCCCTGCCTGCTTACAGAGAAGCCTGCCTGCTTCTTGAGTGCTAGGATTAAAAGCATACTCCACGACTCTCAGCCACAAAATGAGTTTTTATTGTGAATCAGCTTTTCATTGTATTGAGTTTGTCTTTTGTTGTTAAACTTACATTCTGAGTAGCTTGGGTTAATGAAATCATCTGCAGATTCAGTAATTAAGTATGACAGGCTAAGATTCATTGGGAATAATATCATAGTAGGATATTTTAGAATTTCACAAATTATAGGAAAGATAAAAGGAGAAATTGGTTTCACCTTTGGTGTCAAAAACCTACTTGGATTCTCATAGACTACCAGTGTGAAGTGATACGAAGCTTAGAAATGGAAGTGCTGGCACAGAGCATTGAATTATCTGGACATGAGAGAGTGCCCAGATGGGGTGACAGCAGTGAACACCTGAAGAGCTTGAGTTTGGTTGGAGGAGAACTTCCTAATTAGGGCTTAAATTAAGGGTCCATCTGAAGTTATCTGTTAACTTTTCCCTTTTTCACAGTGGGCAGGAATAAACTGAGTATAAATATAATTAAATGGGAGTTGAATAAAGAGGAACTTGTACTGCTAAACTTGTTTGTAAACAGAATTCTGTTTTTCTTTTTGGCCTGGAATTCAGAGACCTATCTGCCTGCTTCCACCCACCTGAGTGCTGGGATTTAAAGGTGTGTTGCCACCACACCCAGCAAACAGTTGGGTACTTCAGGGGATGAAGTATCACTACTTTTGTAACATATAAAAGAGTAAGTTCTAATAAACATTTGGACTAGACCAGACATTCATAAAGTCAGACTTGGTAGAGTTACCACTGAATTTCTATTATCTTAAGTTATGCTATGTATGACACATGTATGTATAAACATGAGTGTAAAAGTAGGCAAATCAAGTTGTAGTTTATAAAGGGTTTCCAGTTTTGCTGTTTTAAGTAAATGTGTCTTGACATTTTTCCCATTTTGGTAGAACTGCTGTATTGTGCTCCATAAAATATGAGTAATAATCTAACATTTCTTTATTAATTATCTGAAAGGAATTAAGTTGATGAAAATGATTTGAGTTTAATATTTTTATTTTTTGTGTATGAGTGGTTTTTTTTGCCTGCATGTATATAAGTGCACCATGTGTGTGCAGTGCCCACAGAAGCCAGAAGAGGGCATTGGTTCCCCTGGAACCAGAGTTATGGATGGTTGTTAGCTGTCATGTGGGTGCTGGGAATTGAACCCAGGTCTTCTGGAAGAACAGTAAGTGTTCTTAACCACTGAGTCATCTATCCAGCCCCAAAAATCTAAGCTTCCCTCCTCCAAAAGGCCAGTTTAGATAGAAATCTTTTTCTTTTCTTTTTTTTTTTTTTTTTGAGACAGGGTCCCCAGGTGGTCTGGCCTTGAACTCAAGAGATCTATCTATCTGCCTCTGCTACCTGAGTGCTGGGATTAAAAGTATGTGCCTCCATGCCCAGCTTTTTTTTTCTTTTCTTTTTTGACAGGTTATCACAGCTCCTTCCTCTGCCTACTGAGTGCAGGGATTATAGGCATGTGCCACCATTCCTGACTAGAAATCTTAATTTCTAATTGGACACTTTGTAGTCCTTTGGCTTCAGGGAGTCCTTGTCCTGTTGTTTCTCTACCTCCCCTTGGTAGAGAACCCTGGGCCTCATGAACTGTACATACTAGGCAATCACTCTCTGGCTGTGATACATCCCCAGCTTCAGGTCATAAGGTGTGGTTTCTTTGGTACTGCTTTAGATTGTATTTTTGAAGCAGATGTCTGTGTGTGTGTATGCGTGTGTGCGTGCACACACACACACACACACATGCATGTTTATGTGGAGGCTAGAGGTTAAATGTCTGGTGTGGATCCTCAGGAGCTGTTTATATGGAGCTCATTGATTAGGCTAGGCTGTCTGGCTAGTGAGGCCTAGAGATTCTCCTGTCTCTACCTTTACAGTACTGGGGATTACAGGTATATATTGTCACACCAAGATTTTTGTGGGTCCTAGAAATGGAACTCATGCTTGTATGGCAAATACTCTTAACGATGGAGCTGTCCTATCCAAGGGTGTCGGTCTTTATGGCTTCTGCCGTTGTTACCAGGTCCTCTAATAAGCCACGGCCTTCACTGCATACTGCCTCATTGTGCCTAGCAGCAGAGGTCCTGTGCTTGACAACTCTGGTAGTGGTCACTTGTATGTTTTTTGGCATACAAAATGTTTTTTTTTAAATCCAGCTGTTGCAATGGTTTGTACATACATAGTCTGTATTTGGGTCTGTGGGTACTCGTTTGTCTTGGCAGTCTATCCTCTTACCATCCCCAGATCTGTTCTACAAAGCATATGCAAATTATATGTTCAGTATAGAGGACATGAGTTTTAAGTGGAATTTAAAAATTTCTGTGGTTTTTCAGGTGTGGTGACTCATTGTAATTGGAGCACTCAGCAGACTGAGGCAGGAGGATTGCCATGGGTTTGAGGCCAGCTTGTGTTACACAGTGAAACTGTCAGAAAACCAAAATAATAATAATAAAAATATTCTCTTGGCTTGTTAAAGTCTCATAAAATTCTCTTGGTGTGTTAAAATCTAATTACATTCTTATTTCATTACAGATAGGTGATCTGCAGCTTCGAAAACTGGATGAACTAGATTGCCTGATAAAAGGAATTTTGTACATTGACTCAGTTGGATTCAATGGACGGTCACAGTGCTATTACTTTGAAAACCCTGCTGATTCTGAAAAATGTCAGAAGTTACCATTTGATTTGAAAAATCTATACCCTCTGCTCCTGGTGAACATTGGCTCAGGAGTTAGCATCTTAGCAGTGTATTCCAAAGATAATTATAAGAGGGTCACAGGCACCAGGTAAGTCTTGATAACAAAGTCATTACTTACTATTCTATTTTTTTCTGTTCTTTTTGAGACAGGGTCTCCCTATAGCCCCAGCTGGCCTGGAACTTACTATGTAGACCAGGTTGGCCTTGAACTCACAGAAATCCGCCTGCCTCTGCCTCCCAAGTGCTGGGACTAAAGGTGTGTGCCACCATGCCCAGCTTACAACCAGTATTCTTAACTACTGAGCCAACTCTTCAGCTCCTCATTGTTTGTTTGTTTATTTATTTATTTTGTCTTTTTGAAACAGGGTCTCTCTGTAGCCCTAGCTGGCCTGGAATTCTGTGTAGACCAGGCTGGCCTTGAACTCAGAGATCTGCCTGCCTCTGCCTCCTGAGTTCTGGGATCAAAGAAAGGTGTGCATTTAAAAATATATTGCTTGGATTTTATTATTGTAGTTTCATTAGTGTTGCATCAACAGACTTAATTTGAGGCCATACTCCTTGCCCTCAGATAGTTTATGGTGTGCATATACAAAGTAGCTAAAGTTAACCATGTAGCTTCTTAGAAAGAGGAAGTCCTTCCTTTTAAACCTATGTTTTGTTCATCTACATAGACACACATGCACACTCTAGCATACACACACTTGAGTGCACACACATACATGCACATACTCCAGAGGATTGGTTAAGGTGACCAGGAAGTGGCCATGGGGCAAGGGATGGCATGGGATGGTATGGATCTAGAAATGGAGGTTCTCATAGTTATAAAAATGATCCGAAAAGGGAAGATTAGATTGAGGAGGAGAATGAATGTTTTGGTTTAAGGTTCAGGGATTACTTGAAAAATTGGTGTTGGGATTAACTTCCTTTTTGGGGGGTCTTTTTGAGACAGGGTCTCCCTGTAGTCCCAGCTGGTCTGGAACTCGAAATGTAGACTAGGCTTGAATTTACAGAGATCCCGCCAGCCTCTGCTTCCAGAGTGCTGGAATTATGCTACCATGCCTCACCAGATTAACTTCTTTTTAAACAGATGTTAGCTAAAAAATGAGAGTAGTGATTTTGAAGAAACAGGTTAGTAAGGGGGTGGGTCTGGTGTTTTAGAATGACAGATGCTTGAATGACTTCAGAAGCCATTCACTGAAGAGGGAAGGTAGGTAGGTGCCAGCACGATGTCAGGTATGTTGGGCTCAATTCAAGTGTACCTGATACTTTTCAGATTCAGATTCTTGGGGAGATGATAGGCTGTATGCTTTTGCTACTTTTTTGGGGGGCTTACATGGATCTGTTCATTGGATATTTAGAGTCATCTTGTGTTTATCGTACTGGTGTCATCTGTATGATTGAATGGAAGCAAGAGTAGATTGATATATAATATCGTTTTGTCCTATTCCCTTTAAAAAATACTACTACATTATTTGCTTTTAATCATAGTCTTGGAGGAGGAACTTTTTTTGGTCTCTGCTGTCTTCTTACTGGCTGTACCACTTTTGAAGAAGCTCTTGAAATGGCATCTCGTGGAGATAGCACCAAAGTGGATAAACTAGTGCGAGACATTTATGGAGGAGACTATGAGAGGTTTGGATTGCCTGGTTGGGCTGTGGCTTCAAGGTAAGGAAGTGTGTGTGTTGTAAGAAATACAGGAATAAAATATTAAATATTATGTGTGTGTTTTATTTTAAGCAGGTTTTTAAAGATTTTATTTTTATATGTAAGTGTATGTCTGAATGTAGGTATATGCACTCATGTGCATTCAGTGCTAGCAGAGGCCAGAAGAGAGCATCAGCTCCCTTGGTGCTGGAGTTCCAGGTCGTTGTGAGCCACCTGATATGGGTCCTTTGGAAGAGCAGCCAAGTGCTCTTTACTTCTGAGCCATCTCTCCAGCACTTATTTTTAGCAGTACAAATAGTTTATGTACTATAAAGTCACCTGTTTAAAATTGGGGGCTAAGGATATAGCTCAGTTGGTAGAATACTTATGTAGCATACACAAAGTCCTGGGCTTAATCCTCACCACTTTATAAACTAGGTTTGGTACTATACTAGACAATTTTCCAAAGTGACTGAACCATTTTACAACCCAGCAGCTTATGGGAGTTTATCTTTCTCTGTATCCTTGTGTTTCTTTGGTTTTTAGCAATCTTTTTTCCCTTTTCTTTTCTTTTTGAGAACGGGTCTTCCTGTAGCTACAGCTGGCTTGGAACTTGCTATGTAGACCAAGCTGGCCTCCATCTCACAGAGATTTGCTTGCCTCTGCCTCCTGAGCGCTGGGATTAAAAGCATCACCCTGCCTTTCCCCCCTTTTCTTTTTAACTGGTTTTTTTTTTTTTTTTGGTCTTTTTGAGACAGGGTTTCCTTGTAGCCGCAGCTGATCTGGAACTCACTATGTAGACCAGGCTGGCCTTGAACTCAAAGCGATATGCCTGCCTCTGCCTCTCGAGTGTTGGGACTGAAGACGTGTGCTACCATGGCTGGCTCTTAACTGCTTTATTAACTACATTTTTCCATGCAAATGGTTAACATTGTATTGTTGACATTGGACACAAAGTCAGTCCCCAAGTAGAAGCTGGTAGCACAAGACCCACCTGACATAAAACAACAAAGGTTCACAGCAAATAGAAAGGCATATCAGGAATGTGCAATGAAAAAGAAAAACCATGGTGGGGTTAGAGAGATGGCTCAGTGGTTAAAAGCACCGACTGCTCTTGAAGAGGATCTGGGTTCATTTGCAGCACCCACATGGCAGCTAACAACTACGTAACTCTGGTTCCAGGGAATCTTAACACCTGGCCTCTGCAGGCACCATATGCACATGGTGCACATACATATATGCAGGTAAAGTACACAAAATAAAAAGAAAAATATTTCTGTTTTAAAAGCGAGAAGCTGAACATAGTGCCAGACACCTTTAATCTCAGCACTGGGGAAGCAGAGGCAGAGATCTCTGTGGGATCAAGGCCAACCTGGTCTACAGAGCAAGTTCCAGACCAGCTAGGTCTACAGGGAGACCTTGTCTCAAAAACAATAGCTCCCTCTTCAAAAACAACAACAAAAACCCAAAAACAAGAGAGAAAGAGAAACCTTAAGAATCCCAGTATCAAATGGCAAAAGTGAAGGCATAAGGCAAAATTCATCATGATGGTCATGGTTATTAGAGAGCTAAGATTATATTAAGAATGTGCAGAGCCGGGCGTGGTGGCTCTAGAATAGCTGCCATGTGGGTGCTGGGAATTGGACCCCCTGGGTTCTCTGCAAGAGCAGCTAGTGTCATTAACTGCTGAGCCATCTCTCCAGTCCTTGTGATTTTGAGTTTCATTTTTCTGGTTAATGATGAATACTTTTGCATGTGCTTCTGTTTATCATCGTAGAAATGTCTTTTCAAGACTGCTTATTTTTCGTTTTTTCTGTTGAGCTTCAAGATTTATTTACATGTTCTAGCTAGTAATTTTTAATTCACTTTTTCCCATTCATTTACTTAGTAGTGTAGAAATTTATTTTTATTTTTATTATTATTTAAAATTAGATATTTTATTTATTATTTTTATTTTATGTGTATGTGTGTATTGCCTGCATGTAAGTAAGTGCACCCATGTCGTGCAATGCCCATGGAGGTCAGAAGAGGCTGTTGGATCCCCTGGGACTGGAGTTATGGACAGGTGTTAGCTGCCATGTGGGTGCTGGGATTCGAACCCGGGTCTTCTGCAAGAACAGTGTTCTTAATCGCTGAGCCATCTTTCCAGCCCCTATTTTTATTATTTTTATTTAATGTGTATGAGTGTATTGCCTGTATCTGTGTAAGTGCACTTGTGTCCTGTGTCATGCAATGCCTGAGGAGGTCAGAAGAGGGCATCCTGGGTCCTTTGCAAGAACAACCAATGCTCTTAACCACTGAGCCATCTCTTCAGCCCCCCCTTTTAAAAAATACTTTATCCTTTTTATTTTATGTGTATGCGTGCATTGCCTGCATGTAGGAAAGTGTACCCATGTTGTGCAATGCCCACAGAGGACAGAAGAGGCTGTCGGATCCTCTGGAACTGGAGTTATGGATAATTGTTAGCTGCCATGTGGGTGCTGGGATTCAAACCCCAGTCTTCTGCAAGAACAACCAGTGTTCTTAACTGCTGAACCATCTCTCCAGCCCCCCCCCCTCCTTTTTTTTTTTTAAACAATCAATTGATGATAGATGTTCAGGTTTATTTCTGGACCCTCAGTTTCTTTCTGTTCTGTTTATCTGTCTTTAGACCAGTACATATGGCCTTAAGTGGGGAAGTGTCAGACACACATGACACAGCCCTCCAACTTGTTATTTTTTAAGATTTTTTTTTGGCTATCTGAGGTTCTTTGGATTTGTGTGTGTGTGTGTGTGTGTGTGTGTGTGTGTGTGTGTGTACATACACACATTTGGTTTGGTTTGTGTTTTGAGACAGTGTCTTACTATGTAGCCCTGACTGGCCTGCAACACGCTGTGTAGACCTGGCTAGTCTCAAACTTAGATCTGCCTGCCTCTGCCTCCTGAGTTCTGTCATTAAAAGTGTGTGCTACCACTCCTGGCAAATTTCTGTGTGCCTGCAAAGAAGACAGCTGGGATTTTGATAGGGACTGTTGAGTCTGTTGACTAGTTTGAGGAGTATTGCCAGTTTGACCCTGCCAAGTCTTCTGGTCCATGAACATGGGCTTCTTTTCATTTATTTAGATCTTTGTTGACTTTCAGCTATAAAGAATTTTAGGTACAAACACTATACTTCTTTTGTTAATTATGTTCTTAAGCCTTTAATTCTCTTTGATGTTAGGAGAAATGGAAGTATCTTTCTTTTTCCACAAGGGTGCCTTTAAAAAAATACTTTGTTTTTTTGTGTGTATGAGTGTATTGCCTGATGTAAGTGCACCTGTGTCGTGCAAAGCCTGTGAAGGTCAGAAGAGGGCATCAGATTCTTCTGGAATTTGAGTTATGGCCTGTTAGCTGCCATGTGGATGCTGGGAATTAAACCTTGGACATCTGGGGAGGTTCAGGAGGCCTGAAGGGTACAGTCCTGGTGGGGACACAGGGGCAGGGGCAGGCCACCAAGGGTGGTGTGGGGGCAAGGCATTTGGCAGTGGTGGCCAAGGGAGCAGGCCATCATGAGTGGGGGTGCAGATTGGGCAGGGCTAGGGTCTTCTCCATTTCAAAGTGGAACTAGAGGAAAAACTGGTCTCCTGATTCCAGTGGGTCCAGAACTTGTACTTGGCTTTGTTGATCTCACCTTGAAAGTGATGGTTTTGTAAGTCTCGGCTGCCATGAGCAGGTACTGCTAATGGAGGTCCGAGAGCTTAATCCTCTTGCTCATAGGTGGACATGAAGTGGTGGAGTGGCATGATGCCCTTGGTGATCTCGGGGTAGTTGACTGGAATAGCAGACGCTGCTTTCCCTATCGCTGGTCACTTTGTAGCCTAGGAGGTAATTTTTTTCAGATTTCTTCACCTCCACCTTGACCTTCTGGGGCTGGTGGGGTGAGGTGGGTGGGGGTGGGGTTTATTTGGAGCATTCCAGTTGTCTCCTCAGCTGCTTGTTGGTCCAGTTGGTCTGATGTTTCTTCCCTTGGGTGTGGTCAGGTGGCTCTTAATAAAATACAGGTCCTTATTGATGATGATGGAGGAGGAGGAGGAGGCTGCTGCCACACCTGTGTTCCCCATCTTGCCCCTAGGTAGATGCTGGAAGTCCATTGGGAGAGTCTAAGGGTGTCATGGGACAGGGAGAAAGCAGTGCTGCCTGGACCTACCTCAGAGATGGCTACAACTTTGCTTTCTCTCCCCTTTTTTGAAATGAGATTTCATTCTGTAGCCCAGGCCTGCCTCAGTCTCCTAAGAGTTGAGATTGCAGGTGTGTGTTACCATGCTCAGATTGGAATTTTCTTAAATTTATTTTGAGATTTTTTTTTTTTTTTTGGTCTTTTTGAGACAGGGTCTCCCTGTAGCCCCAGCTGTCCTGGAACTCACTATGTAGACCAGGCTGGCCTTGAACTCACAGAGATCTGCGTGCCTCTGCCTCCCGAGTGCCGGGATTAAAGGCGTGCGCCACCATGCCTGGCACTATTTTGAGATTTTTAAAGGAATTTGTTTTGTGTATTAGAGCACATTGTTTTTAGTGATAGAAAAGACTTGTTTACATGCTTGTTTGATGCTTTTGCATGCCAAGAAATGCTTTAGATTGTATTTTTTGTGTTTGTAGCATTTGATCATTTGGTCATTACTTCCTTTTTCTGATTTTCAGGGTTTGAGTCACAGTTATTAATACAGCAGTTCTGCTGGTCAAGAAATTTTAAGTCTTTTATTTACCTTGTAGGAAATCTGGAAGTAGCACTTATTGGGACTCAGCTGTTTGCACTTTGCTCTGATAAAGGAGTTTACAGTAACAGATGTGAATGTTGCCATCCCTGTGAGACAGCTGTGCAGAGTAGCTGAATTCCTGATAGAGATGTCTCTGTATCTGATGGCAAAGGGGGCTGTGTTGTTTTCCAGTGGATTTTAGGGGAAATGCTGAGTGAATGGGGGACCATTAGTATCAAAGTTGAATTTCAGAAGAAGGCACAGGGAAAGTTACCTGCTTATTTAAAATGCTTGTGGGCATTTGTTTGAAGCTGAGTTTTCAGCAGATACATCAACATTCTATAAATCAAAAGTTGGAAGATTTGAGCATTCTTGTTACAAAGTCATTTTATGGGCTGGAGATGGGGCTCAATGGTTAGGAACTGGCTGCTCTTGCAGAGTGACCTGGGTTAGGTTCCCAGCCCTCAGGTGGCAGTTAACAACTGTTGGTAATTCTAGTTTCAGGTGATCGAACGCCCTCTTCTGGCCTCTGTAGGCATCGTATGCACAGGTACACTTACATGTAGGCAAAACACTAACACATAAAAATACAAATGAGTAAAAAATGCTTTTATAAAGTCATTTTATCTCAGTAAAGTGTACTGAAGTTTTGTTTGTGATGCCTTTGGTTCAACTGTGGGAATTTTTGTTTTCTACCACAGTTTTGGAAACATGATGAGCAAGGAGAAGAGAGAGGCCGTCAGTAAGGAGGACCTTGCCAGAGCAACTCTCATCACCATCACCAACAACATTGGCTCCATAGCAAGAATGTGTGCCCTTAATGAAGTAAGGGGACATGAGTTTTTTCTGTTACTCTAAGGAAAACACTAAATTTCCTACATAGGTCCCACCTCAACTCAAACCGTATCTAGTTACAACAATGCCTGAATTGTCTGACTGTAGTCACATGGGGTAGACTTTTAAGTACAAACTTAAATCTCTTCAAATACAGGTTAACTTCTTTGATTCCCCCCCCCCCCCCCCGCCTTCCTGAAGATAAACACTGATATTGTAGAAGTAAAATGACTTCTTTTGAGGAGAAAGTAGAGGAAGGCCAGCAAAGATGCTAGTATTCAGATGGTGGGAACTGAGGGTGCAATGTGGTAATGGATAACAGTGTTCAATCTAGATGCCATGTTTATCAGGTACTCTTGAGGTGTAAAAGGTATCCACAGGAATCACTGAAGCTGGAAAACTGAGCGGTCAGAGGAAGGCCCACCTTGGCTCCCTCCACCTCAGCAGAGCTGTCTTCGTGCTTTCAGCTTCTTTACAGTGCTGCCTTGTAGCATTCAGGTCAAGCAGCATTGTACAGGGCTATGAAAGAACCAAGAATGGGCTGCCCTTAGGGAAAGAGGATCTAGGATCCAGTTGGTGCAGCTTCATGACTTGTCCCTACTTGTACACTTTTGTTTAAAATTATTCTTTATATAGGCATTGTGGCTTAAAAGGAAGCCTCAAGGAACAAAAATTTGTCTAATTTTTAACTTAAAAGATACTATATACCAGATCAAACAACTTACAACTTACAACTTCATTTGAATTTTATAACACTACTTTTTTCTTAATTGCATGTTTCCTCTCCTGTGCTTAAGTATTTTAAGATTTTTTTAGTTGGTGTGCATACCATTTTACTTTTTTTTTTTTACTTAAATATTATATGGTTCATGTCTGCTTTTTTGGGGGGGGCGCATCTTTTTGAGAGAGGGTCTCCCTGTAGCCCCAGCTAGCCTGGAACTCACTATGTTTACCAGGCTGACCTTGAACTCACAGAGATCTGTGTGCCTCTGCCTCTCAAGTGCTGGGAGTAAGAGCATGTGCTACCATGCCTAGCTATCTGCGCGCGTGCTTCTGTGTGTGTGTGTGTGTGTGTGTGTGTGTGTGTGTGTGTGTTGTTTGTGTGTGTGTTTGTGTGTATGAGTGTTGGCCAGAGTACTGTCCACCTTACTTTTTTGAGACAGGGTCTCTTATTGGCCTGAAACTTGCTGTTTAGGCTAGGCCAACTGGCCAGGAAGCCCTTGGAATCTGACTGTCTCTGCTTTCCCGGTGCTGGGAGTATAGATTTGCCACCATTACAACTCTTTTAGGTAGGTTCTGGAGATCAAACTCAGGGCCTCATATAAGAACTTTACCAAATAAGCTATCTCCCCAGTCCATGGCTGCATTTTTGATCACTTTTTTTTTTTTTTTTTTTTTTTTAATATAAAGGGGCTTTTATTTGGCAAAGACAGGACAAACTAACATTAGGAAAAGTAAAGGCTACAGTTGATTCAGAGGCATTAATTAGATGTTCAGTAAGTTCACTTTGACACTAACAGAAAGAGCTAGTTCACCTACCAAATCCAACAACCTGGTCATTGTCACTATTTCAAGTAATCAGAATACCAGTCAGCTTGAAAATTGAAAGTCAGAGAGACTTGAGTAAGAATCCTTACAACATTCATCAAAATACCCAAAGTGCTACTTCAAGACTTAAAGAAGTTTCAAAGTTGATGTTTTCTACTCCCTAGTGAAGTAATTCATCTGGACAGTGATTACCATTGACTAGATGTGATTTTAAATTAATTATTAGACATTTCAGTGTTCATACAATGTTCTTTCCACATAGTTCTACTACTCCTAGAGCTCTTCTCTATCTGTTCTGCCTCCCTAGAACCCTGACGTGGTCATCACTAAAAGTTTCGGTCTCTGCTGACCATGACCCTCCAATACTCCAGTTTCAACAATCTTTTATCCTATCCGGCCATATAAGCATTTGATCCTGTGACTGTGTTCCTTATCACTGTGTGATAGTTGGTGGTTGGTTAGATAGATAGATAGATAGTGTTGACTGTTAATTTGACCAAATTGATCAGATTCTTTTTTGTCATAAATTGACATAGAGCTAGGCATTTGGTTTCTTGCAAGTGATAATTGATGGTAAGTTTTAAAGTATTATCTTGTTCTTTGGTTCTATTTCATTCTTGATATGAGGCCTACTTAGGAGTGAAACTTCTGATCATAGATTATGACCATGGTATAGATTGCTGTGATGTTTTGCATAGGGATGTACCCATTTCAGTCATCTTTAGCAGTAATTTTATGATGGCTTTACTAATGTTGGGGATGGAATTTCAGGTAGACTTTTCATTTAATAGTTCTAAGATTTTGCTTTATTTTCTACTCATTGCATATCTTGTATAATTTGTGTCTTGTGTCATCTTCCCTTTTTGAGTTGTGAGTGTTCTTGCTGTGATTAGATACTGACAAGAATAACTTGTGAGAAGAAAGATTTATCTTGGCTCACAGATTGAGGGTAGTCTATCATGGTGGGGAAGGTATGGTGGTAGCAGTGACTTATGACAGTGAGAGTGTGAGATTGATTGTTCACATCTTGGTGGACCAGAAAGCAGAGAGGTTAAATACACTCAGCCAACTTTCTCTTTTTTTTCTCCTTTTTATTCAGTCCCAGACTCCAGTTTATAGGATGGTGTCACCCAAATTCAAAGTACGTTTTCTTCTCTTAGTTAACCTCTCTGGAAATGCCCTTGTAGACACAATGCTATACCTCTCTAATGCTCTAGATGTTTCTTAATCCAATCAAGCTGACAATCAGAATTTCTAGTCACAAATTTATCCCTTGTCAACTTGTCACCGAAGCACTTCACTTTAAATCATAGCATTCCACCCCTGGTTGCTGAAGTCTCATTTTTATCTCATAGTACAAAATACTTTTAGTCTCTTTTTGGTCTTTTTGAGACAGGGTCTCCCTGTAGTCCCAGCTGTCCTGGAACTCACTATGTAGACCAGGCTGGCCTTGAACTCACAGAGATCCACTTGCTTCTGCCTCCCTAGTGCTGGGATTAAAGGCATGTGCCACCATGCCTGGCACATTTAGTATTTCTTTTTTTTTTTTACATTTAGTCTTTTTAAAGTTTATTTCACAATTTTATATATGCGTACATACGTGTAGGGTTCTACAAAATGTACTTTGATCATACCCCCTTTGCACTGAACCCCTTCTTTTCCTAAAATCTCCTACCTACTTTTATGTCTTTTTTCCTCTCCTATGGTCCACAGCATTTAATTAGAGTTGCTTACATAAACATGAGGTAGGGAGGTTATTTGAGTAAGGGTAACTTAGCCCTCAGTGGCTGCACCACTGAGAAATATATGAATCCTAAAATCTTAACAATTCTGACATTGTTCAGAATTGGTTAGGGCAAACGTCGGACCCTGCAGCTCCATGTCTAGCACCCAGGGCTCATGATGGCACTGTTTGGGACCTAGCAGACTTGTGTAGTCCTCTTGTCCCATCTCTGTTGCTGGTGGCAATTAAAGTTCTCGGGTTGGCTTTACTTGGTGTCTGCAGTTTTCCTCAGCAAATACCCTGTGTTAATGGCATCTGTAATGTCCTCTGGTCTATATTGCAACTTAGACTTCACCTTCATCGTTTCATGCAGTGGCTTCTCAGGGCATCCTTATAGGGAATCTAACCCTGTTCCATGCTTCCTGGCCTCAGTAGCTTTCTGGAATCTTGGTGTACACCTCGATGACCTCATAACTTACTATTTATTATTTTGTGTGCATATCACAACATGTGTATGGAGGTCAGAGTCAGTTCTGTCCTTGCACCATGTGGATTCTGAGGATTAAAGGTCATCACTCTTAGTGGCATCTGCCTTTGCCCACTAAGCCATCTTACCAGCCCAGAGATTTTGCATGCCTCCATAGCTAGTACCATATGGATGTCACTTGCTTCTTCCTGCTGTCCCCTTCAGCTGTGATGTTGCCCCATTTACAGTAGCTACAGAGGCCTCTTGAGTGTCTGGGGAGCTGAACCTAGAAAAACATTTTCCTGGGCAGTCCTTTTTGAGCAGGGTGCCACTTTTGTAAGACTTTGTTCAGGTACTCTTGGTTTTTTGAGACCGGGTTTCACTATGTAGCCCTGGGTGACCTGAAACTTACTATGTAGACCAGTCTGGCTTTGAAGTCACAGAAATCCTGCCTTTGCTTCCCAAGTGCTGGGGTTAAACGTATGCTCCAGTACAACCCTGCACTCTCCTTTTTTTTGTTGTTGTTTTGAGACAGGATTTCACTATGTAGCCCTGGCTCACCTGGAACTCACTGTGTAGATCAGGGTGGTTTGAACTCATGAGATCCACCTGTCTCTGCCTCTTGTCTCCTGAATGCTCGAATTAAAGATGTGCACCACCACGTCCAGCTCAAATACTCCTTTTATTTTGTCTTTCTTTTTTGGAGCTGAGGACCAAACCCAGGGCCTTGTGCTTGCTAGGCAAGCTCTCTACCACTGAGCTAAATCCCCAACCCCAATACGCCTTTTAAATGAAAGCTTTTCAAGTAAGTTTGTGGAGCTTTTCATGGTACTGTCTTGCCCTCACAGTGTCTTTCCCATTGTCCCAGTGCAGTATTCCTGGTTTCTTTTAAAGGGCACTTATCTGTGTAACAAGTAGAGCTACTTTAACAGGAGGGCTCATACTCCTTTCTTTGCCAAATTGCCCATTTCTCTTATCCTTTGTTTCACATTTTTTCTTTTAATTAATTAATTAATTTAGTAATTATTTTGGTCTTTTTGAAGCAGGGTCTCCCTATAGCCCGGCTGTCCTGGAACTCACTATGTAAAGCAGGGTGGCCTTGAACTCACAGAGATTCGTCTGCCTCTGCCTCCCAAGTGCTGGGACTACAGGTGTGCACCATCACGCCTGGCTAATTTATTTTTATCTTATGTGTGGATGTTATGTCTGCATGTATATAAGTATGCCTGTGTTGTGCAGTGCCCGTGGAGGAAAGAAGGCGGCGCTGGACCCCCGGAACTGGAGTTAAGGACCGTGGTTAGCCGCTGTTTGGGTGCTGGGATTCAAACCCGGGTCTTCTGCAAGAACAGCCAGTGCTCCAGCCCCTTTGCTTCACTTTTTGCTCTCACTGTAAACTTAAGAGCAGAGAGCAGTAACCATGCCACAGCCTGGCTGTTATGTTGTCTTGACAATTTCGACAGTTCTTCTGCCAAATCTTAGTCTCTTACCTTTGAAATCCAGCCTCATTCAAAATTCAGGACACGGTGGAATGTAGCTAGATCTTAGCCTCTAACCCACACTTGCTAGAGTCCTTGTTTCCCTCTGGGACTCTATGACCTAGGCTTCACTGTGCACATTTCTCTTGGCATTCTGGGGTCTTCCAAACTCCAGATGGCTTAGTCAACTCTGCGTATGGTATTCTAGTCCTTCAGGATCCAGACTTTCCCACATTCCTCAGCTAGTTCTAAAGATTTATGTACCACATGGTCAGATTTATCACAATAATTGTCCAATTTCTTTTTTTTTTTTCTTTCTTTTCTTTTTGAGATAGGGTTTCCCTATAGCCCCAGCTGACCTGGAACTCACTGGACCAGGCTGGCCTTGAACTCAAAGAGATCCACCTGCCTCTGCTTTCTTTAGTGCTAGGACTAAAGGCGTGTGCCACCACACCTGGCTGTCCTATTTCTTGCACCAGTTTTTTTTATTGCCCTGAGAAAGCTGCTTACTGAACTGGAAACTTGCCTTCTCAGGTCGGCTTGCCAGCCAGCGAGCTATTGGGAACTGTCTGTCCTCGACCCTCAATGCTAAGATTATAGGCATGTGTAGCTGGTGTCTGGCTTTTTACATAGGTGCTGGGAATTTGGACTTAGGTCCACATGCTTACAGAGGAAGTGCTTTTATTTACTGAGCCATCTCCCCAGTCTCTGTAGATTCCTTTTTTTGTTGCCAAATAACCTGGCCAGAGCAACTTAGGGGAAGAAAGATTTATTTTGGCTCATGGTAGGGAAAGGCATGGCGGTAGGGATTGCTTGTGTTGTGATGGTGAGAATGTGAGGCTCTTGATCACAAGTAGTTGGACCAGGAATGAGAGTGATGAATGCTTGTGTTGAACTGGCTTTCTCTTTTATTTCAAATAGCAGCCTTTGGGGGAGTGGTGTCCACATTCAGGGTGGGTCTTCCCTCATCTAAACCTCTCTGGAAATGTCCTCACAGACACACCTAAAGAGAGAGTCTTAATCTAAGTTGTCAGAAGTAACCAACAGAAGGAGTCCTTCATTTTTATTTATTTATTTTTTTAAATTTTATGTGTATGAGTGTATTGCCTGCATGTATGTAAATACACCCATGTCGTGCAATGCCACGGAGGTCAGAAGAGGGCTTCGGATTCCCCTGGAACTAGAGTTAAGGATGGTTTATAGCTGCCATGTATGTGCTGGGAATTGAACCTGGATCCTCTGCAAGAGCAGTCAGTACTCCTAACTGCTGCGCCATCTCTCCAGCCCGTTTTTTTTTTTTTTTTTTTAAGTCTACCATGTAAATTTTCCTTAGTAGTGCTATTAGTTGTCACATTTAATACAAATCTTTTTCCTAATCTGTTTGTACATTTTGGGGGTTGCTTGCATCAGTCAAGGTGCTGCTAAAACCTGCATAGTGTTCTTCTGGGTGTAGCTTTTATGAGAAAACAGAAATTAGAATGTAAACTAATTGCCTTTGTTTGTGTGCTTAGAACATTAACCAGGTGGTGTTTGTTGGGAATTTCTTGAGAGTGAACACGATCGCCATGCGACTTCTGGCATATGCTCTAGATTACTGGTCCAAGGGGCAGCTGAAAGCACTGTTTTCAGAACACGAGGTGAGTGATTTGTCTTAGTGACTGTGAGGCTCACAGTTCACATTATAGTAAAATTTAAAGGATTGCACAGGGCTGCAGTTTCTCTCTGGGTTTTTTTTGTGTGTGTTTTTTGAGACAGGGTCTCCCTGTAGCCCCAGCTGGCCTGGAACTCATCATGTAGACCAGGCTGGCTTTGAACTCAGAGATCCGCCTGCCTCTGCCTCCCAAGTGCTAGGATTAAAGGCGTGTGCCACCATGTCCAACTTTCAACTTTTTCTTCTTTACAACTGTTTAAACTACCAGACAAGGTGCTCACACCTGTAATCCCAGCACTGGATAGGCAGAGATAGAATTGCAGAAAGTTCAAGGTAAGCTTGGTCTATGTAACAAATTCCAGGGTAGCTAGGGCTATAGCTGTGTTGAGGATCAAACCCAGAACCTCATGATAAGTTATACCTTTAGCCTCCAAAGGAAAAGAAATATTTCTGTTATTGTATTTTTCTAAATAATCCATCTATTCCCATTGTGTATAATACAGTTCCTCTGGGTTCTGCCTTTTTCATGCTTCTAATGCTAAGTTTCACGTACTGGTATAATTCATGTACCATTTATTTAAGATGTATGTTCTAAAAATGAATAGCTTGGTAATAAAAATATTCCAGGCTAGAACTACACTATCATAGGAACCTAACATGCAGACAGGCTAGAGTTCACAAAATGGAGAGGAGTCACTGAAATGCTCAGCCTGGTACTCTGTCTTGGAGAGTGCCCTTCATTTCCCTTTTTAAATTCTTATTTATTTTGATGTATGTGAGTGTTTTACTTGCATGTATGTAAGTGTACCACGTGTATGAAATGCCTGAAGAGGGCAGAAGAGGGCATTGGATTTCCTAGAACTGGAGTTACAGTTGTTAGCTGTGCTGATTGATCCCAAGTTCTCGGAAAGAGCAAGCATCCAGTGTTCTTAACTGCTGAGCCATTTCTCCTGTTCCTCCCCCCTCTCCCCCCTTTTTTGGGGGAAAATAAACCATGGAACCAGAACCATCTTCCTCCCCTCGGTTGCTGGGCAGTTATTCTATTTCCTGTGCTGTTGGAGCTTAGTTTTACCACGAACATTTTTCACATCTATAATATACATGTTTAACGGTTGGTGGAAATCCTTTAAGGTTCCTGTTTCTCTTTTTAAGTTGCCTAAGTTCATCATTAAAACCCAAAGTACACGCATCCTTGCATCAGAAAAGTGAAATCTTAAGTCATCTAACTTATTCTTAAATTTTTTTTTCTTGGGGCTGGAGAGATGGTGCAGCTGTTAAGAACACTGGCTGTTCTTGGAGAAGACCTGGGTTCAAATCCCAGCACCCACATGGCAGCTAACAACTGTCCTTAACTCCAGTTTCAGGGGATCCAACAGCCTCTTCTGTCCTCTGTGGGCATTGCACGACACGGGTGCAGACAATA